ATGACCAGAAGTAATGAGACTCTCTCAATAGCTTAGACTTAGAGGGTATTGAAAATTGACCCTGTGGTTTTAAGTTCAAATTACTGAAATGTCCTCCTGGATATATTTTTGCCACAGTTATATTATTTTTATTTTGAAACTTTAGATCTTATTTTAGAAGTTATTTTTGACCAGGGGTGCACAGAGGGGGGCAGAGTAGGGCTTTCTGGGGAGCAGCAGCCCCTTCAAGGGCATGCAGGTGTGAGGCCAGAGCTTGGCTCCTGAGCCAATTTTCCTCACCGGAGGGTTGTCACCAGAGTGAAAAATTTAGGACTCTTCCTCTATCCTGTCTGTGATAGGAATCCTCTTCTATGCTTCTCCCTGCCCCTCCAGGGGAGTCTCTGGGTGAGAAAGGGTTGGGCTGCCTCGTCTGAGACATGGACCCTGCCTCACCTTCTCCCAACTGAAGGACAGCAAGCCTTCCCTGAGAGTGCTCCCGGGGACATGTTGCCAGTATTTGAGATGCTGATGATCATGGCACTGGAGTGACAGAGGTGACAGGCCTTGCAAAAGGCTCCGGGGATTCTGAGATTGTGGTCTGTCACACAGAGCCCCTTCCCTGCCCATTGCAGATAGTCATCAACTTTCTAGGAAACGGATGACCAGGCTGCCCAAGGATCATGGGAGGCTGGATGGTTCAATCTAAAAAAAAAAAAAAAAAAAAAAGCTAGAAATGAGGAAAGAAATGAATCTCAGAGTTACAGTTTATAACAGTGTGTGAACTTCAGGCATGCACATTTGCAATATCAAAAAGGGACAGAAGAAGGCACACACAAGAAAGCTTGGTTGAACAAAGCACACTTTTTTAGGAAAATAAAATAAAATAAAAATGGAAAGGTCCTTAAAAACATATGTTAACTTAAAATTAAGAAAGGCTTTTCAAAATGAGAGGCAGCAAGGGGTTATTTGAGATCAATGGGAATAGCTGTTTGGGAATCATTTATTCAGGCAGAAGCCCAAATAGTCTTCTGATTAGGACAGTGGTCATCAAATTCACATGTGGCTCTTTGGACCCTGGAGTGTGGCTCTTCCACAAATACCATGGCCTGGGCGAGTCTATTTTGAAGAAGTGGCATTAGAAGTTTAAGTTTAAAAAATTTGGCTCTCAAAGGAAATTTCAATCGTTGTACTGTTGATATTTGGCTCTGTTGACTCACGAGTTTGCCAACCACTGGATTAGGAGATGGAGGCGATGGGTATTTATGAGAAAGGGAAGAGGATCGATTACCTCAGTGGAAGGAAGGCATTTCTACTGGTGCAGATAAGCTAACATAGTAATGCTAATTCTGAACACTGCTTTTAATTTTCAGCCCAGTAGTCCTCAGTGCAGTAGTCATAACATCTGCTTTCTTATTATCTTTGCAAGCTGTTCTTTGGGACATGTTGCCTAAGCCCAGTCCTAAGATTATTTTGTCCTGATTGTAACATTCCAAAAGTTTGAAGATTCCAGGGCCAGCAGGAAAGAATAATATTGCAATTGTCCAGTTGTCTGTCCCGACTAAAGAATGGGTCTAAATTAAATATAGTGGCCATACTTAAATGATAAGCTTGAGAAACAAAATCACGGAAGTCTTAGGTTGTCCTCCTGGGTGCAGGCATGAGGTAGTCAGAGGTAGATGGGCTGTGCTGGGGGTCATGAGGTGTGTGTGAAAGACTCGCTTCTGGAGTCTCATTAGACGGCTGTATTGCAACATGCTTTGGACAACATTGTAAACACTCCTGATACCGCTGCTTGTACCCCACTATCTATTCCACCTGAGTTTCTAAGCAAACAAACCCTACTCTTGCCCCTACCCCAGAGAAATGCACGGAGGTTACAGTGTATTCCTCCACTGCTTTGCTTTCGCTTAATTCAAAGCTTTCTTTTAAGAAAAGGTCATGGTGTACTGAGAGAACACACAATAAGTACTTTGCAAATTAAATTGGAGGATGTTTTTAGTTGACATCAAAACTAAGTCTTGTGATGGTGGACGTTTTGTTTTACAAAGGTCAAAATCTTTGCAAAAAGCATTTTTAACTACTTAGAGGGCATCCAAACAAGCTATTTCAGAGCAGTCTCTCAGGACCCACAGCATAAGAAAGTGAGGAACATCATGATGCCCCACCAGGATTTAGCCTTCTAGGGACTCAGCCTCATGTCTCAATGGGACTCCTCCATGCACTGGGGTTATTGGAAATCTGTCTATGGTTTCAACTGTGAAATACTAAAATGTCCTTCTGCATATATATTTCCTACAATTACATTATTTTCCTTTTGAAACCTATATACCCCAAGAAATTTCAGATCTCATTTTAATAGTGGTTCTTTTTTTAAAATATTTTTTATTGATTTTTTACAGAGAGGAAGGGAGAGAGATAGAGAGCTAGAAACTAGAAACGTCGATGAGAGAGAAACATCGACCAGCTGCCTCTTGCACACCCCCTACCGGGGATGTGCCAGCAACCAATGTACATGCCCTTGCCCGGAATGGAACCTTGGACCTTTCAGTCTGCAGACCGACGCTCTACCACTGAGCCAAACCAGCTTCAGCGATAGTGGTTCTTTTTAAAATATATATATTTTTATTGATTTCAGAGAGGAAAGGAGAGGGAGTGAGAGAGAAATATCAGTGATGAGAGTGAATCATCGAACAGCTGCCTCCTGTATGCCTCCCTACTGGGGATTGAGCCCACAACCAGGGCATGTGCTATAACCTCCTGGATCATAAGTTGATGTTCAACCACTGAGCCAAACTGAAGGGCTTAATGGAGGCTCTTAACCAGGAGGAGCCCATGAAGGTCTTGTGGAAGAACTTTCTCCTGCCCCACTTTCACTACCTCCACTCTAGAAGGTTCTTATTTGGTAGCTCTCTCTCTCTCTTTCTCTATCCCATGGAAACATTTGCTTCTCTCCAAGAGTTCCAGCAATGAGTCAAAGGGGTCTCACTGGAAAAGCTGGGTAGGGTTAGGGCCTGTCTTTTCTGCTGGGTATCCTACCTTCTGTTGGTTGGTATTAGACTCTGCATCCCATAGTCTGATGTTCAGTTCATTTGCTGTCCATCTCTGTCACAGACCAGCCTCCTGACAGAACTGTAAATACCTGCTGCGGAGAAGTGAGGTCATGAGAAGGCTCATAAGTTACAATAAAGTGTTCTCACCTACTGTAGGAAGAAGAAAGCACTCAGTTTAGCAAAGGTTGATTATGACTCAGGCCCATCCAGACTCTTAATACATTTACTACCAAGGGAAGGTCAGTGAATTCCACTCTTACATCTGGGCTTTTGAGGGAGGAGGGGAAGGGGGGCTCTCCTCCAACTATAAGCCCAGGACCCTAAGGCAAGCAGGAGAGGGACTAGGGGACATTCCTTCAGACAGAACTTTCCCTCAGGGTCTACTTCTTCTGGTCAAACATTGGATGGACTGGGCCGACCTGGTGTTGGGGGAGGGAGAGATTAATCAGAAATCTTAATAGAATCTTTGTGTAACCTGGAAATAATGTACAAAATCCAGAAAGACACCAGGATCAGGGGAGAAGTGAAATTTGGGAATGGCCCTCAGTCTCCTCCTGCCATCCCTCTGTTTTGGCTTGCCACCTGAGGGACAGAGGAATAGAGCTGAGGAGACAACCTTTGGAGTTGTGTCTGGATTTGTACATCAAGAAAGATTGTCATTCTCTTATTGGCCTCTTGTGGCAGCCCCTCTCTGTTTGGTGAAGCCCCACTCACTCTGGAAGTTCAACTTGTGTTGAACTTAGGTAAGACACCAAAAGGTTATAAAACGCCCCCCTCATCACCCAAGGACAGGTCTCCAAGGGTCCAGGTGAGTTCCAGGTTCCCTGAGGGTCAGTTTTCCTTTCACAGGGGATTGCTTTCCTATGGTGATGGGAGAATACAGAGACCCATGGAAGCTCTGACCTTGACCAAACAGGGAAGTGAACACAAACCCCAGGAATGTATTCCCATCATCAGAAATTGGGCAGCAAGCTCCTCAAAAGTCTCTCTCCCACTTTGCAAAGCCTTGGCGTTTGAGCAGCAGTAGGAGAGCAGACTTGATACCCCGAAGAGCCCTGACTCTCATCCTGGGAGGGGGCGGTTGAGCCAAATAGGGCACAGATTGAGAGATATCTCGGGAGTGCACCTTTCTTCCCGCTGTAAGATCCCTCTTTGCAAGGATGAGCCGGTGCCCTTTGCTGTAAATCAGGGGCAAGTCCTCCCTGCAGTGCCGGTGTGGGCCGTGTGTGGGCAGTGATGCAGCCTCTCCCTTTTGGGGGCTGGGAGCTTTAGGGGAGATGCAGAAGTCATAGATGGTCTCACTCCGAGTCCACACAGGGGTTTGAGTGGGTCATAGGACAGCGAAAGTTGCATTTGTTTCTTCCCTGTCTTGTGCTCTTCCTCAGAAGACTGATTTGGACTTATCGATAAATGAGTATGGTGGGGGAGGAATACTTTTCTATAAACATAGCAACACACGTGCTTGCCAATTGCTAAGTAATGATTCTGAGCCAGCCCCTGTGTTGGATGTGTCTCCGTCATATGACTCACCACCCCTCCTGCAGGTAGGTATATTCACCCCATTTTCCAGATGGGAATCCCAAGGCACAGAGAGGTATAGTCACTCACCATGATCACACAGCAAAGTAGTGTCTGAGTCAGGCTTGCTATCTTTCTCCCTGAAATCTCTACACTCTCCTTTGAGCATGGCGTGCTGCTTCGGTATGGACCTGAAACTGGGGTCTTGAGCCAACCAGACCTCTCTACGCCCACCCCGTGGGGAAAGGAATGACATGTGCTTGGTGGGCTGGGAGCGGGCCTCCACCGGCTCCCTCTGGCTAAGGCAGGGGCTGCTGTGGGGGTCCCGTCATGCGCTCTGGGATGGGGCTATGTTTTCATTTGCCTGTCTTTCTCGTTTGCGTTGCCGTGATCTTTCAGGTGTAGTGTGCCTATTCCCAAACCAGATACCATCTATCTCTCTCTCTTTCGTAGGCACGGTGCTGTTGTGCCAGGCAAACCAGGAGGGATCTTCCATGTACAGTGCCCCCAGTTCACTTGTATATACTTCCGCAAGTAAGCCCATGTTGTGGCTCCTTTTTTTGTTTTGTTTTGTCACATAACTCTGAGTCCACTCACCCTCCCTGCCATGTAAGTTTCCTTCCCCTCCCTCCGCACCACCCTCCCGTAGCTCCCTCCAGGTGAATTTGATTTTCATGAGCATGTCTCTGTTTCCCCTTTGCCTTAGTATCCAATCCCTTTGCTCATTACGTCTGAATCCTCACATCCTGATGTCCCAGCCATTCTCTGTGTGGACCTGTCAGGACTGGGTCCAGTGGATGGGATGTGGGGTATTGGAGTGGGGGAGGGGAAGGGAAGGAGGGAAGAAGATAAAGCTCATTACCTGCCTTCTGTCACAGCTTTGTAAATCCGTATGAGAAAAATTGAATTAAAACATGTAGGCCATTCAACTGGCACCTTGGCCTAGCAAAGGTGCTGGGTCAGTCCTCTTGAACAGAATTTCTTCACTGTGGGAAATATGAGCAGCCTGGGCTAGTGTCTTGTTTGCAAGGCTGTTCTATCCTTGGCTATGTGATTCCATTGAGGAAGAGAGGTGGGGAGAAAGAGAAGGAGGAAGAGGAGGAGAGGAGAAGGAGTAGGAGGAGGAGTAGAAGGAGGAGGAAGAGGAAGTAAAGGAAAAGAATGTGGGTGTTCCTTCCCCCCCCCACCCCCCAATTTAAGTAGAGGAAACAACAAGTTAAAGGTTCTTTACTAGATGTAAGTATGCCCATCAAGGACTAGGGGGAGGAAACCAAAATAACAAGAGAAGCCAGATCACAATGCTGAGGTGGAAAATAAAGGTTGCTCTGCCTGGGTAGATGCTCATGGCCACTCCCTTTCCCAATTCGCAGAGCGGGGCATAAAGTGCTCCTGGATCCCATATGGCTCCCAGCCTCTAGCCACAGTCTGACCTCCTCATGTATTTCATACTGTGTGTCTACACCCTATGCAATTCCTATACCTGCCCAAACAGGTCCTCAGTGGGATCCTTGCTCAGAAGTGAGTCTGAGATCATGGGGAAGTGGGATGCTTCTGAGACTGGCTAGAGAAGGGTTGGGGGAGAGCAGAGGATGGAGGCTCATGATGATTAGAGGATGAAAGATAGGAGAAGCCTGACCACCTGCCAAGATCCAGCATCTCAATTCCCAAAAGTTAAGATAAACCCACCTCTTTACTGTAGGGCAACGGTTAGAAGCAGTGACAGGGACCCCAAAATATGATCACCAGAAGGCTTCAGGTCATGTGGGCAGCCAAGGGCTTTTCCCAACAAAAGTATAATCTTCAATAGCAGTTTCGACATTCATGAAATGCAAGGTCTCTGAGAAGCTAGCCATACCAGCCAGATGTGGTTCTTCCGGCATTTATGAAAATTGTCCCATTTGGGCCAGTGCAAATGTCTGTGCATACAGATGGTAGATGAGAATGCTACTGTACATTTTCACACACTCAATCTTGTTTTTGATGCTCACAAAATCTGCACCAGGTAGGTTTTTTAATGTTTGCTTTACAGCCTAGGAAATGGGGGAGACAGAGAAGTGGGGTGATTCCCCTGGGGACTACCAGACAGTATAGGGTAGATTTGCTTTTCAAACCTGAGGAAATTACTTAATCTTCTGGCCCCATTTGGATCTAAATCTCATCATTCCACTGTACGGGTCCCTCCCTCTTCACTATTTCTGAAGGAGAGTTGGGTTGCATTCCAGAGGATTACTTAGTTTATTCTTTAATCCATTTGTCCTATGGGTCCATCTGGGAGGAAACCTCCTATATCCGCACTGTCCAATGGTGTGCTCCTGGGACAGAGACACTGACTTTTTTGTTTTACTTAATTTCAATTAGTGTTACTCTAATTAGCCTTGAGAGGCGAATGGCTGCCATATTGGACAGAGTGGCTTTCTACAACCATAAGCTATGTTCCTTTTTTTTTTTTCAGAAGGGCACAAAATAAATCAAGCAAAAAAAAAAAAAAAAAAAAAAAAAAAAGGCTAAGGCCGGTTTTAATTGGTATAGCCATTCTAGATCAACTCGGGAAAAGTGTGTGTGATCGTGTCAAACACAGAACTAGGCCACTACAGATGTCTCCCATGCCCCCTCTCCACCCAGCCTCTGCCCCACCCCAGGCCTTCACCACGCTATTATCTGTGTCAGTGGGCTATGCACATATGCATATAAATTCACTGGTTAATCTCTTCTAGTCTCTCCCCTGCCCTCTGAGATCTGTCAGTATGTTCCATGCATCCATGCCTCTGGACCTGTTTTGTCTGTCAGTTTGTTTTGTTCCTTAGATTCCACACATAAGTGAGAGCATGTGTTTACCTGTCTCCGTTCTCCATATTAAAATCAGTGAAACACATGGGAAATGAAATCATGCGATGCATTGGTCAGCAAACTACATCCCAGGGCCACATCCAGCCCACAGCCTGCTTTTGTAAGGCTTGTGAGCAACGAATGAGTTCAGATTATTTTTAAAGCATTATAAAAACAGAACAAAAACAGAAATAATGGGGAAGAGACATAGGTTGTCCACAGAGCCTAAAAGTTTGATAATCTGACTCTTTATAAAAAAAAAAAAGTATTCTGAATTCTGACTTAATGGATCCATTTGATTATTGAAAATTGGCAATGGGACTGTTGCTTCACTGTTTATAATACTTTTTTTCTGAGTTTAAGAGTAAACATTTATAATAATTATAGAAACTATATGATGTGTGCCCAACACTTCATTTTAAAATTGTAAAATCAGTCATATTATCTACACATTTGTCATCCTATTATTTTCACTTATTATCCTGTCATCTGTACTTTATGCAAATATGTTAATGACCTCATCATAATCTGTTGTTTCATGATATTACATTTTAATCTATCCCCCCTCCATTTGGGGTATTTAGATTGATAGCAATTTCTCAAAAATAATAAGGAAAATCAATGTCCTGGTATGTATTAGTATCAAAGACAACAGTGACTAGCTAACCTTGCTATCCCATAACAAAACAAAACAAAAGCTGGTTTCTTGCCCATCCAGTAATGGTATATAGATTGACCAGCTCAGTTAGTGTTTTGTAAGGGCAACCAAATTGAGACCTCCCTCCTCCAGCTGGGTGGCTGAAGGGCCTTCCATTATCTGTATCCTGAGGCCATGCATTGCTGCTGAGTGTAAAGATTATCCATTCCTCCCAAAGCTCTTGGCTAAGACTTCCTTTCTCACTCTTCTCCAAGTCAGCAGTGCCTTTTTGGGCCAGGCTGTTTGCAGTTAGCTGTGTTCTTTGGAACATTTACTTGGGTTTCCTCTTCCAGATTAAGGTATACACTTGAGTAGCCAGATTATTATGATCTCTGAACGCCTAATAATCTGGCCACTTGGTATATATATTAGAGGCCTGGTGCATGAATTCATGCATGGGTGAGGTCAGGCCAGCCTGGCTAGGAGGAGAGGACATGGGCAGTTGGACGTCTTGCCTGCTGGTCAAACTCTTGATCCAGGGGGAAATTTGCATATTAGCCTTTTATTATTGTACATAGGAAGGATATACACTGAATGACCAGATTATTATTATTATCAGGGATCATAATAACCTGACCACTTAGTGTATATTCTGGTACAAAGTCACACCCCATTTTCACCAGATACAGTCACCTGAGATGCCTCTCCTCCATCCAGGTGACATGCACCTGGGTAAGGGCCAGAAGTCTTGTCTTTGAAGTTTGAACAGTGTGGCCTCTTTTTCTCTTAGGATCCAGCCTTTTCTGCAAAAGCTGAGGCCCCCTCTCTTCTCAGCCATTGCTTAGGATTCACCTGTTGTTTTTTTGTTTTTTTGTTTGTTTTTTTAGCCTGAAAGTGCTTTCTTGCTGTGGAGGAATAGGTGTGCTCCTTGAAAAGGGGGGGCATGCATTGTGCTTTTGTAAATTGTATCATCTGAGTTTGCTGGCTTACATGAGCACTCCTGAGTTTGTATTTGTTTCACGCATCTTTACCTGACCTTGGATGTTTTAGACTCAAATTGTCCTGTTTTGTAGTCAAATAACTCATCATCTGTAAATAACACCCTTAAATGCAGTAAGGGAGATGGTTTTTAAAGGAACCCTGCTGAATTAGTTAGTAATGAAAATAACTCTACTGAAGTTATCTGTTTTTTAAGATGCATTTTTGCATAATGGGTTTTCCCCCTTAAGTGAACCATCCTCATAGTACAACCCAGGACATGAAAGCATTCAGAGGGAAGTTTAGACGCAGGCATGGTCAATACAGCCTAATCCCAGAGAGTCTCCCATCTCAACCACCAACTCCAATTTCTCCTCCTCACACCCTTTAGCTTAGTGTGAAACCCTACTTCAACTGTCATGGAACATCAAACGTCCTCTTACATGTCCTCATACACCACTCATTCAGACTGTACAATGGGCCTACTTTCTTTCTTTTTTTTCTTTTTCTTTTTAAAAAAAATATATTTTATTGATTTTGTACAGAGAGGAAGGGAGAGAGACAGAGTGTTAGAAACATCGATGAGAGAGAGTCATCCATCAGCTGCCTCTTGCACCCCCCCTCCCCCCACTGGGGATATGCCCGCAAGCAAGGCACATGCCCTTGACCGGAATCGAACCCGGGACCCTTCAGTCCCCAAGCCGATGCTCTATCCATTGAGCCAAACCGGCTTCGGCTGGGCCTACTTTCAATCAAACTTAAATAAAGTCAGAGCAAAACTCCAGAGAAAAAAGGAAGGTCATTTTGCCCCAAATGCAAAACATTGTTGTCTTAAGAAATTAATTTCAATAAACTAAATTAATAAAATACTTTTAATCATTTTAAAACAACTTTTTAAAATTAATTTGAAAGAGGAAGAGAGATATATAGAGAGATGGATGTGAGAGAAAAACATCAATTAGCTCCCTCCTGTATGTGTCCCGAGCAGGGATTGAACCTAAAACCTAGGTATGTGACCTGATGGGGAATTGAACCTGCAACTTTTTGGTGTACAGAATGGTGCTTCAGCTGAGCCACCCAGCCAGGGCAATTT